GCTCCTTTTGGACTCAAGCGTACCGGAAGCGAAGCTGAAGTCTAGAACATCAGTTCTTGCAGGTCCCGCGTCACTTGATACCCTTTTCCGGACATCCGGATGGCGGATTGCGATCTGGCAAACCACATTCGAGAACTTGCACAATGACCGACCAGCGCGTCGCCCTCCACGTGTACGACCTGTCCCGCGGCCTCGCGCGGCAGATGTCGGCGTCGCTCCTGGGCATGCACATTGACGGCGTGTGGCACACGGGCGTGTGCGTCTATGGCCTCGAGTACTTTTACGGCGGCGGTATCCAAGCGGTGCCACCGGCGCAGGTCGCCGAGACGTATGGCACACCGTACCAAGTCGTCGAGCTGGGCACGACGCAGGTAGACCAAGCGGACTTTACGTCGTTTCTCCAAGAGATCCAGTCGCGCTTCACGGCGGCAACGTACAACTTGCTCTCGAACAACTGCAACAACTTTTCCAACGAAGTCGCCAACTTTCTCGTGGGCAGCAACATCCCACAGCACATCTTGGACCTGCCGCAGCAGGTGCTCTCGACGCCCATGGGGTACGTTGATCGTGCTTGTGACGAGGCGAATTCCTCATGCGACGTGTAGCGCCATGTTTCGGCCCATGTTTGAAGACATGCAAGGACGCATGGCCGAGAGCATCCAGTCGCACCACAACCCGTCGCCCATCGCAGCCCCGGTGTCCCGTACGGCGCTGCCTCCGACAAAGACCTTGGCGAGCTACGCGCAGACGTACATCTCATGTCTGCCAGAGCTGCATGTCGAGCGCATCGCGGGCCGCCTCGACGCTCTCAAGGCGCTGTCGCCGGACGAGACGAGCGCCATCCAGCGCCTCATGCACTTTGCAACGTCCAAAGACACGACGCAACTCGTTCCGAGTGATTCGTACGTCCTACTACTTGATTGCATCGCTAACTTGACGCTGGTAGCGCTTTCTGGTGGTCGCTTGTCGCGAATGCGTTCGGTGCTCAAACGCCCGCGGCCACGTTCACGGCGCTCTGCCTCCTTCGCATCGTGCTGCTAGCCGATATTCGATCGCCCGGCGTCGTCGTCGATACAATGCTGATGTCGCCGGTCATCGACCAGCTCCTCCAGCAGACGCAAACCACACTGGACGGGCCCCACCGCATCTTGCTGCTCTCTGTCCTCCTCAATGGACTCGAGGCGCCCGCGAGCAAGGCGCAATTCGCCGAGCACCTCGGCGTGTGGCTCGCGTTTGTCTGGGGCACGTGGCAGGGCCCTGCGACCAGCCACAGCCAGGCCGAGATGGCAGCCTGCTTCGTGCTCAACGTGTGTCGGGACATTCGCCCGTCCACTGCCGACTACGACATGATCCAGTTTGCGCTCGTCGGCGGCTGCGCCGAGGTCCTCGACGTGCACGCAAGCCAGGGCGCTCTCGAGACGACTGCGGTACGCCCTTTGCCCGGCGAGACCTTGCTCACTCTCTATTGTAGACTATCGTCGAACGCATTGTCGCGGGGCTGGGGCTCCTCCTGCAAAAGGACGTGGGCGCGCGGAGCCTCGCGGCTGAAGTCGGCCTCGTGCATGTGCTCACGCGACTCCGGCCAAAGACGACGGCGCTCGACTTCCACAGCGTCCTCGGCGAAGTGCTGGCGTTGATTTAAGCGGAAGAGAATAGAACCTAGCTGCACTGTCCATGGCCGTGTGGACCGCACCATATTTCGTTTTCGTTTCGCGGATTTTGGGGTTTGAAAAGAAAGAATTGGTGTTGCGTTTTGAGATTCAAGAGCCGAAACGTCCTGCAACCGACATGGCGTCGGGAAAGCGCTCGGATCGGAAGCGCATTGACGACTGGACGAGCGACGATGTCATGCAATGGCTCCACGCCGAAGGCCTCGCGGCCTACGAGAGCCTCTTCTTGACGCAAGAGACGCTGAACGGTAGTCGGTGGATCAAACCTCCACCTGCACGCTGTGTTGTAGGCGAATTCTTGCTCGAATTCTCGACGCCGACGCTCGATCACATGGGCATCACAAGCCTCAAGCAGCGCAAGGTCCAACTCGAATATGTATCGTTGCATGTACAATCGCTTTGTGGTAGGAGCTCCTCAAGGCCATCCACAGCCTGCAAGTCCGCGCGCTCGAAGAGGTGCGCGCGTCGCCTCGCATTACGACGAGCAACCAAGGGCACGAGCCCGAGTTCAACGAAGACGCGAGCCATGCATCCTTTCTCGAGGCCTTGCAGGCCTGGCGCCAGCCCTCGCAGGCCCGCGTATGTCACCGCTCTGAACCAATCTCCAGCATCTACCTTTACTCTTGTAGGTGGACCATGGCACGGCCACGAGCCTTCCGACGGTGTGCTGGCACTGCCTGGTACAGGTGGCTGCTCGACGCTGGCTCACGGGACGCTGCCTAGGCGCCGTGTCGGCAGCTCGTGCCAGCGCCGGACGCGCGCAGCGTGTGTTCGAAGCGCTGCTTGGACGCGCTGCTTGCCGCGGACGCGCAGGCGAACGACGCGGTCGCGTCGCAAGCGGCTGCTTATCGCGCTCGTCTGCAAGCCGCGTGGTCTTTGGACATTCAGCTGCTGACCAGATCGCCCAATGATCCAATGTGATTGGTGCTCGAATATAAATGTCCACCAATCGAAACGCGCTTTGCGATGCATTATAGCCAGTCACAAGCGAGAACGCTTCACTCTTGTAATTGCGCCATGGGCGGCAACCTCACAGGGGGCGGCGTCGCCATGAACGGGACGGCGCATGGGCGGGTCATGGTCTCGTCGCTGCCGCTCTTCTACCTCTGCATGGGCCTCTCGCTCCTCGCGCTCAGTCTTATGGGCGCCAAGGCGCTGCTTCTCAAGCGGGGCGTGACCCTCAAGCAGCCCAGCCAGATCGAAGCGATGGCCCACCGCGTGCACCTAATCGAGGTCGCGGTCTACATCCTCGCGTGGTACTCGATGAGCATCGGCATGACGCTCTTCCTCAAGTGGTTCCTCAAAGTCTGGCAAGGCGGCTTTCCGTACGTGCTGACGATGGGGACCGTGCACATGGCCGTCAAGGCGATCTTCTCGCACCTGCTGACGTGCAAGCGCAACATTGCCATTGCGCCGCTAACCTCGCGCGACTACTGGATGTACCGCGTCATCTGCTTATGTGCGAAGCTGATGGCGTTGCCCTAGGCTGGCTGTGCCCATCGGGCTCTTTACAGGCGCCGACATTGTCCTCTCCAACAAGTCGCTCACGTACATCACCGTGTCCTTCTTTACGATTGTCAAGTCGGGTGGCAACGTCTGGTACTACGCCCATGCTCCTTCTTCTTCTTCTTATGGCTAAGGTCATAGGAACCTCCTCTTCTCCATCTTGCTCAAGCTGCAAGAGCCGTCGTGGGCGCTCTGCGGCGTCGTGTGTTTCATCTGCACCGGCATTGGCATGGCCAGCTACGGCACCATCAACTTTGTCCTTATCGGCTTTCTCTGCGTCCTTCTCGCGTCGATCCTCGGCACGCTCCGCTGGGTCCTCACGCAGTTCTTCATGAAGCGCATGACGGCGTCGTCGCACCAGTACATTATATATATGTATCAACCTCGCTCATTCGGCTCATCCTATTCTCTTCCTAGTACGCTGGCGGTTGTCTACTATATCTCACCCGTCAGTGCGCTCCTTCTCCTCCCGATCGCTGTCGTCGTCGATGGCCCGAGCTTGCTTGCATCCAAGTTTTGCCACGACACGGTGCTCTTCCTGCAGGCGCTTCTTGGCGTGCTCCTCGGCGGAACCATGTCCTTCTTCCTCGTCTCGGTCGAGATTGAGCTCGTGAAGAAGACGTCGGCGCTCTCCCTCGGTACAGTATGCACCTAAGACCGAGGCTCATGATGGTCACGTAGGTATTGCCGGCAACCTCAAGGACGTTCTCCAGATCCTCATGGCCATGCTCATCTTCCACGACAAGCTCAGTGCTCTCAACGTTGCGGGGCTTTTTGTGGCGACGACGGGCCTTGTCTTGTACTCGTACATCAAGGCGCGACCGTCGTCATCGTCGCCGGCCTATGCGCTCGTGCACCTGGACGACGTCGATATCGAAGACGCCAACGAAATGCACGTCAAGTGAGCACGCTAGTATACTCTCCTATTCTGTATCCTGTCTCCTATACTACCTCTACGACGACTACGACTACGACGGCGACGACGACGACTAGAGGCCGCCACAGACCGCGGCGAGCAGCGCCTGGACCGTCGGACGTTTGTGCCAATCGAGGTGCAAGCATTGCCGTATCAGATGCTAGTACAAGTGCATGAGACGACGCAAGCTGCAAGCAGTAGCGACTCTACCTGGGCGTCGGCGGGGACGTGAGCGGGGATGTGTAGCGTCGGACTCGCTCGGTACATCTTCATGCGCTCCGTCATCTCGGGCTTACTGGCCTGCGTCCCCAGCGGGTGGGCGTGGCACAGCAGCATGTAGAAGATGAGCCCGATCGCCCACACGTCAAACTTCTCATAGGTCGCGCCGAGGCTAGTAGCTTCGCTTGGCGACAAGAGGTACCACTCGGGCGGTGCAAACGCTGGCGACGCGTTCTGGCCCACGAGGATGATTGCGTGCTTGCGCTGCGAGAGGTGAAAGTCGGTCAAGCGCAGTTGCGCGCCGGCGATCGTCGCCAAGAGCACATTGGCCGGCTTGAGATCGCAGTGCGCCATGCCCTTCTACATGCAACAGCCGAAGATGATGGTGCGGTAATTCAAGAAAATGCGAGCGATACCTGGTGGACGTAGTCGAGACCGAGAAGCAGTTGGAAGAGCAAGTGGCGTGCGAGTCCCATCTCGCAGGGCCCGCCGAGGTTCTACGTGAGAACTGGTTGAGGATACGCATGAACGGAGACGAGAGAATCGCACCTCCATGAACTGGTACAAGTCGCACGCCATGCGGTCCATGACCATGAGCGAGTATGGCGCACCGCGATGGGATGTCATGAGCAGGGGACCGTGGACGTGAACCGTGTGCTCGGACGGCAGGAAGAGCTACAATCACGCAGAGTGGGCGAGAGACATGGACGATGTGATGTACCTGGTGGTTTCGGAACTCGATCTCGGCTTGGTGCAGCTTGGTGCAGATCTTGATGGCGCAAAATGTACGCGTATGCACGTCGTAAGCTTCCCAGACTTCCGAGTTGCCGCCTTGGCCGATGAGCGCCTTGAGCTGGTAGCGATCGTGCAAGAACGGGAGGCTGGCAAAGGCCGTGGCTACAGTGACCGTTAAGGAGAGAGCTCTACAGGAGGAGGCGACGTACTCGCGTGCAAGTGGACGCGCTTTTCGTGGCGGCGAAAGTGGGCCTTGGCCACCTCGAGCGCGCTCACGTTCGCCGCGTACTTGTCTTGGAGTGACCGGATGTACGCGGCAAACATGGCATTCGACATGTCGCCCGCGCTCAGCGTGCGCTTGACGTACAGGTCCTCGAGCTGCACGTCGCGCTGCCGCCGCTCAATGTCGCTCCCGAGCTCCGCGAGCGCGTGCTTCATCGTCAACGTCGCCGCTTCGAACGCCTGGCGCCACTCGACGCTGGCCGCGGGTGGTGACGTGGACACCGCGCCTTTGCAGCTAAGGCCATGCATCTGCTGCTGGATGCTTGTCACGCCATCGTCCCAGCGAATGCGCTGCTCGACCGGCGTGCCCACGAGCATGCCATTGCCCGCGTCAGACCAGTGGACCTGTTTGTCTTCGTAGACGCCGACGGCAAGGATGTCACCGCTCGTGTCCATCGCGTCGCCGTCGATGAGCTTGGGCGCGACGACGGTCTCGGAGATGTCCATGCTGCTGCTGCTGCTTGCCGCTTCCAAAGATCGCAACAGGCTCAGTCGCCGGTGAGGGCCGATCGTATCCGGAAAGGCCAGTCCCGCGAAACTCCCCAATACAAATGCGCCCTTCGCCCGCGACTTTTTCCGGATACGACAGCTTCTCTAGTTGGGTGCATTTAGCCACAGTGGGATGCATGAGCTGGCAAGCGCCCATCGCGCAGCTGAAGCGAGGAACGGTCTCGTGGCAGTACTGTGTAGAAGGGTCATCACGCATCATTGACCCATGCTCAAGCCAAAGGCGCCATGGCGTTGCGGGCCTCGCGCGGCGAAAGGCGCGGCAGCTCGGTAGCCAACGCGACGCCTCGCCATAAGATCGCATCTGTCTGCGATGGCGGGCGAGGGCCTGGCTGTCGCTTCTTCCTGATAGCGTTCAGCACTTGCAAGTGCCATAGCCGTCGCAAGAAACACCGTAAAGAGAGAGGAAAGCACAATTAGCAAGGGGTGTTACGGCTGCACAACTAGGCAGTTACAATTCCTTGGTGTTGCGGCGGCGAAACTCG